GAGACCAGAAACTGTGTCTTGTTCACCTTTGTGTCCCCAACACCTACCATGCTATCAGATGCAAAGAAGCCACTCCATGATTGTTAAATCACGTTAAGCCCTCAGTAAGTGTTAACTATTCCTTTTACTTCTGGTTCACCCATGCTCAATTGTTAAGTGTTGGCATGGACCTCTTTGTATCTTTACGTCCAACTCCTTCTGTGTCACCAAAGAGGGCCCTGACCCTCTTGGCTGACTACCAGGAGGCTGCTCTTCACTGCCTTCTTAGACAGTGAATGCTCACTTCCATCTGACAATTGCCTTGGACCTGATAGGTGTTTGTAAAATAAAAGAAAGATCTGTCAACTAAGAATTTTTATTTCTTTTGTGCACCGGGTAACTGGAGGAGAAATGAGGCCCCCTAATTCAGTCTTCTTGGGAGAAATTCAACCATAAAAGAACACACGTTTTTAAAATGACCACTCTTTAAAGTACTTGATAACGAAAGCTTTAAGAATGAAAACACAATTAGAACCTGCTAGCACTACACACACCTCATGCTTATGGAGCAAGAGTTCTGGGCTAGCTATTATTTTATCACTCACAGAAGGAAATAGCATAGAAAGAACTTTAACTGCTCTCTTAATAGAATGTTCATGACAAACCTGAATTATAAAAAAATTGTCCCCTTTTTGTCATTCTTCATCTGTTAGTCCCTCTCTCCTCCAACTTCCCCTTTAATTATGGATTAAAGAGAACCAAGATCTGGATATACTTGATTCCACAGTATAGGAAGGCCTCTATTCTCTTCAATGCACTGATTACAAACTCAAAATAATTAGAGGGCTGGCGTGGCATGGTGGATTACACACCTGTAATCCTAGCACTCTGGGAGACTTTGGCAAGAAGATCACTCGAGCTCAGGAGTTCTAGGTCAGCCTGAGCTAAGAGCAAGACCCCTTCTCTACTAAAGAAGAAAAATTACTCCAACGTGGTGGCAGGCCCAGCTACTTGGTAGGCTGAGGCAGGAGGACCAATTGAACCCAGGATTAGAGTTGTAGTAGTTCCTCCTCACTTTCAGGCTGAACTTTCTCAGGTAAGAAATATCACACACACACATACACACACACACACACACACACACACACACATACACACACGCAGTAAAGGGAAGATCCCAGGACAGAACATGGTTGGGGCCTGGCAGTAGGAGTTGAATCTGAGGTCTCAGGGAACTGTCCAGAAAACAGGTGCTGAAATGAGGCAAGGAGCAGCATTTGCCCCTCAAAAAAGTCCAGATTAATAATAAAATCTAATCATTGTGTTCTTAAAGCATGGATGTGACCTATAATTATGCAAACATTCTGCATGTCATTTTTTAAAACATCTTTATTAAGATAACATTAATAGGGTGACATCTGGGGCTCAGTGAGTAGGGCACAAGGCCCATATACCAAGGGTGGCATTCGAACCTGGCCCCGGCCAAACTGTAAACAAAAAATAGCTGGGTATTGTGGTGGGTGCCTGTAGTCCCAGCTACTCAGGAGGCTGAGACAAGAAAATCACCTAAGCCCAAGAGGTGGAGGCTGCTATGAGCTGTGACACCACGGCACTCTACCAAGGGTGACAAAGTGAACTCTCTCTCTAAAAAAAAAAAAA